TGGGGGGAGGGGAATGGGACTGTTGTGGGCGAGCAGCCTGGCAGGCAGAGTGGTTAGGGGTGATCAGGCAGGCAGGCAGGTGAGTGGTTAGGAGCCAGCGGTCCCGGGTTGTGAGAGGGATGTCCGACTGCGGTAGTCGGACATCCCCACAGGGGTCCCAGATTGGGGAGGGTGCAGGCCAGGCTGAGGGACACCACCCAACTCCCATGCATGAATTTCGTGCCCCAGGCCACTAGTATGGGATAATTACAGAAGTTAAATGAATTACAAAAGCATTAGTGAATTGGAGAAATTAAAAGGTTTCCATAATAAAATGTTAACACTATTCTACTGGCACATACAACAAGCAGAAAAGAGACTCGGTAAGAGTTATGGATGCTATGACAATAGCCCAGTCTCATATTTTAAATTATATTTGAGGCTGTTTCTTTGAAAATGGAAAGAAATAAATATGAAAAGCAAGTATAGAGAGAGAATCAGCAAAATTTGGAGAAGTTTGGAGTCCTAGACCAGCCTTTATGGAAAGAAGAAAGATGAGTATTGTTTTAGCCTCTGACTTAATATCTAGGATTGGTATAACCAGTGTAACAGATGCAGAAAAAGCAAGCAAAACTAAAATATAAAAAATTTACAAAAATGTAAATAGAATTAAAATAAAGAACAAAAATAACAGGAATTGAGGTTTTACTATATGCCAGCTAACATGTTAAGTATCTTATATACATACACTCATTTAAATATTAATTAGATACCACTACTACTTGTAATATTTTGTTACAGGAAGGCTGAATAACTTGCCAAGGCATTCTGAGGCAGAGAGTAAGCACACACTTTTCTAAATATGGTTCTCTGACATTTAGAGATAGTCACCTGTTCAACTTGCAGATTCCCAGGGTTTCACTCTAGAAACCTATAGTGAGCTTTCACAACAACCTAACAACAAACCACACCCAAGGCCATTTAATTTAATCAGAATCCATGGATGAGGGATCAGGGCATGAGTATTTTTAACCTCTTCACTAATCTAGTGTGACAAAATCTATGGGTAAGACCTTGTGATAAGTAATTTAAACAAGCATCCCAGATGATTCTAATTAATATTAGAAATTTGACAACCACATAAATAAGGAAAAGAAAAAAGACTGAAGATGGACCTTAAGTTGTAAGCCAGATGGACAAGTCTTTTGGCCTCAGTGCTTTTGGTAAAATTGGGGGAACATCATCAACAATAATAATAGCTACATACATTGAGGGCTTAAATATATTTTTATGTTTTTCCATCTAGAATACTTTACATGTATTTTATTATATGATTTAATTTTCATAATCTCAATTTGGTGGGTGCTGTTATCTATTTTTTATAATAGTTCAGTAACCCTAATAATTCCATAACGCTCTTGGACATTTATTGAATAGGCCATCTTGCATATCTCCATAATCACTGCATCTTCTGAGGTATTGACACTGTGCAACAGTGAGACATGCTCCAATTATGATGGACTTCTCTTGATTTTGTTGGTATTGTTTGAAGCTTGTTATGTTCTTTCGGTTCCAAAAAAAACATCTGCCAATGAGGTTTGGGAGCTCTTCTCTAAGTTTCAGTGCATTACTAGGCTTGAATATACCGACAGAGAAAGTCGCCACCTTATCTACTCTTCAGATCCTTAGTACCTTTGGAAATTGCATCATGTCATCAAAGACTTCCTTAACAGTCATTGCGCCATCACAACATTTAGCTTAACAGTTGGTTATTGTAATATACTAGTTATCAATGCACAGGGTGCAGCTATTTGCATCTGGTCCACCAGTTCATTCACAGGAGAAAGATAGCTCACTGAGAGCAATTCACAACTTCACGACACTAAGCCAAAATTGTGTGTTGATCCAATCTATGATTTAGACGGGACTGCATGTTGGCAAGGCCAATAGATACCATAAATCTCTTCCCAAGCTTGATATATTGTCCAGGAACTCTGATGAAGATCCAGCAACAGCATCATAAAATATTATCAAATACTATTCTGAAAACAGAGACTTCTTCAGCTGCCTTAAAGTCCAAGTCTGGCCATTTTTTCCAGTAATGGTGATGCTGAGGCATGCGTACCTTGGTCAATAGTCACTTTGAAGACACACACCAACACTTTGAGGGCTTCATGAAGGCAATCAGTAACTTAGGTTAGGAAGACTAATCCTGGGTAGCTGGTGAACTGTCTCCTTCCATACTAAGGCAAATATGCCTGGGCAGACTTCTTGACTGCATTGCTCCATCCAATATCAGGGACTCACATGGCTCCTTCTCTGCTCATGACTGGTAGCATCTTGCCAGTGATAGCACTTATCCTGTGTCTTGGTTGGTGGGCTCCCCTATTATCTAATTTCACAGATAAAAAAAATAGGCTCAAACAAGGTAAGTAACTTGCCAATTCCTCATAGCAAGTAAGTGGTAGAGCCAAATTTTGAACCAAGGTCTGTCTGGCTCTAAAACCTATGCTCTTAATCACTCTCCTGGCAAGAAGGACCACTGGAGAAAATGATGAGTTATAATAATATGCTATTAAAAAGTCACGAGGAAAGTCGCAAAAGTACTCCAGGAATGAGCAAAACTTAGAAGTTAAAGAAATAGAGATCCATCAAAATCGGACATACAGATAATGAAGTGTCAGTTATTGAATAATATCTCCAAGTAAAGCCCTATCATATAAAGTGCACTTAGTGGAGGTATATTAAGCAAAGCTGCATCTCACCTGTAAAAGGATCGGCTGCAGACATTGTGTTAGAAGAGCCAGATGAAGAGCCTGGAACATACCGACCACCACCTGTGTATGCAAACAAAGGAAACATGAGAAGACTCCAAGCTTGGAGGAAAACAGAAGAACAAGACTGTTACATGGGAGAATAACAAATTATAGTCAAAAGTGTTACAGTTGAAAAGACTAGTAAGAAACTAAAATTTCAGTGATTCTCCGAGCTTTGTTTTCCTAACTTTAATACTTTATTATATCTTAGCCCTTACATTTAAATATTGAAATGACCAGGAATTCAAATAGAAAAAGAAAATTGCAGGTAGTCTCTGACCCAAGTAATATATACATACAATCAGTTCCTGTTCCTGTACAAATTCACTAGAATTCCTGCTGTTGCTTTTGCTATCAGAACCACAGGCATCAAATGTTAATCTTTTAGAAAACCCCTGGATTCATTAATTCATGTGTGTCAAACAGTGCATTCAGTGTAGGGATCCAGCAGAGAACATGATTGCTTGTATCCACTGAAGCTTACAACCTACTGGAGAAAGGAATTACAAAGGGGATGAGTGCTAGAAAGAAAACAGACTTCCATTTATACCTTTACAAATGCATGGTGTGTGTGCATATATATTTTATTAGAACCTCTAGGGAAATAATCAGAGTGTCTACAAAAAGATATATGTAAAGATGCTTATAAAGTTAAGCTTCAGAAGAGCAAAAAAGCCATGGTGTCAGATTTCCAGATAGAACCAGATGCTTTAATATCTGTCCTCAGTCCCACAAATAGCTTACACAATACTGCAATCATGTGTTCCCTCTTTTGCACTGTAGTCTGAAATTCCACCAACAGAAATGTCCAGGTAATACCTCCCACCACTCTTTTGTAAAGTGCAGCTTTTGGGAAGGCTGCGTCATTTATAGTTCAGGAGTGAGTCAGACTGATCATCCTGCTCAAGTCAACATGCAGATGAAATTAGCTTTATTATGTGAACTGATGATGGAATTTTGAAAAGAGGAGATAATTTGGGGACAAGGAGTGTCCATCAGGGAAGAAGAAAAAAGGACAGATCTATATAAGGACTTGAGACAGGAAGAAGGCATGAGACCCTTCCTTATAAAACAAGAGCAGTAGTAGCATATGAAAAATGGAGTCAAACGGACCACAGCCAAACAATAACAATTCAGTACCAATTTCAAAATTTTATTTAGAGCTTGCTCTATACCTAAGAAAAGAGGAAGGGTTTTATTTCATCCTGTACCATGGCTTTGGTTCCTGGGACCCAGAATTCAGACTAATACTACTAGCATTATAATTTATGGACTGGCATGAGAACCTAATCCCATTTGCAAAATTTTAGATACTATGCTGTTACAAACAACTGACTTAAAATGAACATGTAGAATATAAATCACTTATAAAATCTAAATACTCACAGTCCAGTCTTAGATGTGATGCACAACTAACTAATTTAGCCTCATGTGGAAACTGGTAAATTTCATCACAAAATATATATTTTTTTAAAAGTTAACTATACAAAGGAACATAGAAGTTTCTTTTTATGTCAAATGACTAAATTAAAGTTCCTTAAAGTTATTAGTTTACAGTGTGGCTATATTTTTGTAACAGGACAATTTATAATCATTTTTATAGATACAGAATTACTATACAATTCGAGGCTTGCAAATATGAATGTGAAGTAAAAACCTACTGCAGGATCTTGGTTTTTATTTAAACAGCTAATCATAATGGGCATTTAAACACATTAGAAAAAGAAAATTAACCAACACTGATGGAAAGAAGCACTTTAAGACTTAATACAAACCCTAACTTACCTGTAAATGGATCTGACAAACTGGTATTCCCAAGTCCCAACATTTGACCTTTTGTGTTATCAATAATAAATTTTGCCACTTGATCCAAAAACATGGGATTCAAATCATTCTTCTGCAAGAAGTTGTATGCAGTTAACCAGGGATCATCACTGATGTTATATGGCAATTTATAGGATGGTCCACCTTCATTGACATCAATTGAGAAAACATAATCAAATTCCTTTAATAGGAATATAAAAAGGAGATAAATGATTACTAACTTATATGTTCATATGTATTAATGACATATATAACAGATTTTATGCGTTCTTTACTTTAATAATTATAGTACTTAAACTTTCTCCAAAGAGCATTGTTAAAATCTTCACTTGGCATATCATAACAGCAACTACTTGAGCGTGCTGCAAGATTAGCATTTCACTAGGGATGGAGGTGAGGGAAAGATTATGACGACATTAATTCTGAGGCCAAAGGGGTTTCCAATTGGCTGATCTCAAGGCCATAAGTATTAGCTGTTACCATGCCCAGCTCACCAAAACGTTCTGGCATTGTAAGCACTGTCCTGAGGGTCCCTTCTGCCTTTACAAGTTAAATATAGGCATGCAGCATTAGATGAAAGGTGGCACAGAAGCTCCTAATCCAAAATGGTTGGGAACAGCTTATATATGGTTACTACTAAAAGATAAATAATGCCGAATCTGTCTGTGAAATGCAGCCCTCTATACATGGAAAGAGATTCTTAAAAAACCTAATTCAAGACAGGAAAAGATAATTTCCCCATAGAAATATATTTTTAAATGTTAAAACATGAGAAAATTGTATTAGCATGGAGAAAGGGAAAAGAAAACGTTTAATTTGTTGAATACTTTAAGATAAAAGTATTTAGAAAGAAGTCAACATACTTTCCCTTCATATAAAACTTTTCCAGATGTTTGCTGATTAGCACCAGATGAGCCAACAACATCACCAATTTTTATCCACCTCCCTTCACTAACACTCCACTGATAGGCTTCGACTCTCTCCCCATCTCTGATTAGACGGGTCTGTCCTTCTCTAGAACCTTAAAATAAAAATTTTGAGAATCAAAGATAGAATGGCAAAATAAAATTCAAAAACATTTAGATAGAAAATTGTTAACATTAAAATTTATACATAAAAGAGAATGTGTGTTTTGGTTTAGTAGAAAATTTTATCAAACAAAAGATTATTTTAAATTGTACTGGAAAGTGGCATAAGAATGGTTAAAGGAAACTTTATTAAATAAAGGTTAAAAAATTTGATTCTAGAAAACAGCTAGCCCATCAAAATTAGAACAAGTTTTATTACTATCTTCTGACAACACTTTCATTCCAGTAAAGTCTCCATTCTTCTAGCTTCTCAGGCCCAAAAGTGTAAAGTCTGATTCCTCTTTCTTGCAGCCACATAGCCAATCCTTCAGCAAATTCTATCAGCTGCCTTTAAGTATATCTAGAAAACTATTTCTCCTCACTATCTCCAGTGATACCTGTGGAATAAGCCACCATCATTTCTCAGCTGGAATTATTCAATGGCCTCCTACTACTGCCCTGGGGTCCCCTGCAGTCTATATACAACCCAGCAACCACAGAAATTCTTGCAAAGGTTTAAGGAGCTCCTGACACATCTCAGCTGGAGACCCTTTAATGACTTCCTAACTCACCCTTGATAAAAGACTATGTCACTGGAGTGGTGTACCAGGCCAAACATAATCTGCCCCTCCCATCCTCTCTGACCTCACCTTCCACTACTCCTACCCTCATCCCACCATCCTACTTCAGTCATGGAGTCTTTGCACTAGCTATTTATTCTGCCTCTGACACACTTCACACAGGTGCTGGCAAGATTTGCTCCCTTGCCTCCTTAAAGACTTTACTGAATGTCAAGTTCTCAGCAAAGCCTGCAGTGGCAAAGACCCTGCTGTCATCCAGAGTCATGCTCCTATTCCATAGAGTAGGGCTGTGGCTATCAGGTCAGAGACTACTTACTCTATTCAGCCCCCTTGCCTCTTGCCTTCCCTCGGGGTTACACACTGAGTATACACTCAGTGGTATCTGGGTGGGTGTGATACAGGCCTATTCTAGGCCTTTTCCATCACTGTCTACCCTCCCTTTTACCCTGTTTGATGGATGAAAGTCTATAACCAAGGAACCTTTGATATCACATGTTGAAGATGGTGCTTTCCATCAGCCTGGGTCCCCATGACCCCGAAGAGAAAAATTATTCTACAAACATGCTCCAGCATATTCTGCCATCAACCGAATTTTACATGTGCAATAAACTTTTCTTGTTAAGCCAGACATTTCAGGGTTAATCTGTTACAGCAGCTAGTGCTATCCTATTACACGTTTCCTGACCACTTTATTTAAAATGATAAAACAGCCACAACCCTAGCCTTATTTTTCCCATAGTACTTTACTTATTATCTGACATCTAAATTTACTTTTTAATTATGTGTCCTCATGTAGAATATAAATTTGTGAGAACAGAGATTTTTGTATCTTTTGTTATCTGTTGTATTCCCAGATCTTAGAACAATGCCTGGCACACATTAGGCACTTCGTAAATATTTCTTGTATGTACGCTATATATATAATGACAAAAAGACTATATTTTGTAAAGAATTGTAAAAATATCAAACATGGTATTAATGAAGCAGTTCTTAAAGTTTTAATTTCAAAGTCTCTTTATAGTCGTAAAAGTTATTCAGAAGCCCAAAGATCATCTTTTAATGTGGGTTGTATCATCTAATTTATTGGATTTGAAATTAAAAATGAGAATATATTTACTTCCTGGAAAACAGTAATAGATTCACTACATACTGAATAAACATTTTAATAATAAATAAGTTTCTTTTTTAGAAATTCAGTGAAAAGGCTGCCACTGTTTTCCATTTTTGTAAATCTCTTTACTATCTCTCCTAATAGAAAATGGCTGGATTTACCATACCCGCCTGTGCATTCAATCTGTCGTTCTGGTAGAAGTATATAAAGAAAAGAAAAAAAAAGTTAAAAAAGGGGAAGACTAGCTTAATAGCCTTTTGGGAAAAAATATGGATATTGTGCAAGTAGTAGGTCCTTAAAGGTTACAATTTAGAATCTGAAACCATACCAATGACTTTGTCATGCTCTATTAAACTAAAATCCATTGGTCTCTCTTACACTTTAAACAAGTCTTTTACCCATTCACGATTTTGTAACACCATGAACTGGCATTTGGAAAATATTAAATGAGTTATGCAGACTGTCCACATGTTTACACATTTTATTATTTAATATAAAAAAAATCACACTGTTGCCCTGGCTGGTTTGACTCAGTGGTTAGAGCGTCAGTCCGCAGACCTAAGAGTCTTGGGTTCCGTGTCCGATAAGGGGCATGTACCTCAGTTGCAGGTTCCCCAGCCCTGGTAGGAGTGTGTGTAGGAGACAGCCAATTAATGTGTCTCTCTCGCATGGGTGTTTCTCTCTCTCTCTCTCTCCCTCTCCTCCCCTCCCTCCCACACTTTCACTCTCCAGAAATCAATGGAATGTCTTTAGGTGAGGATTATTAAAAAGATCACACTGTTAATAGTACAACTGATATCATTAGAACAGTCTTGTAAGCATTGGAAAACTATTAAGCTCCTGGTGTGGAGTTACAGATTTTCTAAAATTTCAATTCACACTAGAAAGTTTGAATTTTATTTTTGGTAACAAATATCATCAGTTGTTTTCCTTAAAGTGACAAGCTCAGTTTGTTCATTTTTAAGAAATGCCTGCCAAATACACAAGCCTGAATAACTAGTCGATTTGTGAAATAAAAATGGCATTCCATGAAAAAGCCAATAGTTCAGCCTTCAACGTGAATGACTGCACAAATACTGATCTTCCAGATGCCACGGAACTTTAGTGCACCACATGTGTAATTTACCTTCTGTCACCCAGAATATTTTTTTAAATTTACTAAAGGGGTAAAGATGTAATAAAATTAATGTTTAATGCTTCATAAAGGACATTTGAGGGCAGATGGCTTTTGTTTTTTAAAACTACAACTGTGTGTTGGTGCAGAACACGACTACCGGACACTCTGATGCAACTGCCTTGATTTGTGAACTAGGGAGCCAGCAGTTTTACCCACCAATGACTTCTACACTAAATGATTAGCAAAACAACCTTTTTTCCCTATCACTTTAATCAATCCAAAATTCTGGAATAATTGCTAACAATTTTTACTAGTAGATAACACGGAAATATTTACCAGGTTCGTTCAGATGTTCCCTCCCAGGAAGCTGCTCCGCATTAATGTTCCCTAAATCACCAGTTTTGGGATCAATGGTTGCCTGAGAGAGTTCCTTTTCAAAGGCCTTGATTTCTTCAGCACTTGCTGTCCGATCCACTGATTCTGTAAACACTCTAATAATACCATCACTATAAAGAAAAACAAAATGATTTTAAGCCATAGTTTATTAACATTATCACACCTGAGTGATCCGAAGCAAAAATAATCTTTGTGAACATGAGAAATGTTACTATGTATTTATTGCTGAGTATTGCACTATGCTGACTTGAGCACACACTGCCCTCTATTATTTTTTACTAGTAAAGCAATGCATAGGGTGAAAAAAGACTAGGGAAGCCCTGGCTGGGTAGCTCAGTTGATTTGAACATTACCCCAATACTCGAAGGTTTTGATCCCCTGCCAGGGCACATGCAAGAATCAACCAATGAATGCGTAAATAAGAGGAACAACAAATCAATGCTTCTCTCTCTCTTTAAAAATCAATCAATAAGAAAAAGCACTATATTAAAAAAAAAGACTAGGGAAAAGTTATTGGCAAAGGTCAGAGAAATATATATTTAACATAAATTTTATTTTATTATTATTTTTTAACATAAATTTTAATTCCAAGTTAAATAGTTACCATCATAAAAATTTGGAAATAAAGTGTATGCTTTAAAAGTCAGTATTACTTAGGTGTTACGGTATACGAAGGGTAGTGGGTGGGTTTACTTTATTAAAGGTAGGAGTACCCAACATAGGACTTAGCAGGTAACAGATGCTCAATATCTGTTCCTCAGGGAAACATGGAGTTAGCCTTTCGCATGCCATTAACTAGCAGTATAACCCCAAATCAAGGGGTTTGGTCTAGATGGCACCTTTGGTCCTAACCTCTAATCTCAGAAAAATGACTTCATTTCCATGATTTCTCAATTCTAAATTTTGGGGTGGGGAAGCAAATTAGCCACTTTCAAATATACTAATCCTACCTAATTCTACATTAAATGTTGTTTCTTGCATAACCTTCACTAACAGCAATTTCGGCCTTTCAATTAGTTTATTTTTCTTCAACTGTTATACCAACTACTTTTGTTCAGTACCAGAATCGTGCATACGGTCTCTCCAATTCACAAGTTCTCCCTTGTCCCCATTGTTCTTAATACACACTTCCAATCACCAAAAGTTTGAAGCTTTATCCTTTGCTTTCACCCCATTTCTGATCATTTTCCTCTGAATTATCTCATTTTTGGTCTCTTATCCAGTGCCACGAAGGAGCCAATATTTAATAACTTCACACCCTTAATACTGCAGCTGCTTTCTTTGGCTTTCCTTCCCGTTGTCAACACCAATTAAATGAAACATCCATATTTAATAATTCACAAGTCCTACTTTAATCATCTCACTTTTAAGAACTATAACCCTTTAACCCCAAGCACTAAATCTATTAAGTGAGCCCCATCTTACCTATTATCCACTTTTCCCCAGCATTAGTCCTCCACCATTTTCCTTTATCTCCTAACACATCACTTTCATTCCCATGCTACATCTTTACTTATAGTTTCTTTTGATAAAAATTCTCATTTCCCTTCTTACTCATTATCTTTCAAAATCCCATCTACATTTCTTCTCCAGAAAGTTTTCCCAGACCAATCTCTACCTTTGCTGACTTCTTTTGCATTCAGAGTTTCAACTGTACAACTTACAGTACAGTACTGACATAATAAATCCAGCATCATTAGTGTAAAAGCTGTTATGCCAACTGCTTTCGTTCAGTACCAGAATCGTGCATACGGTCTCTCCAATTCATCTGAAATTCCTTATGACTTATCTCTGTGCACTCTAATGCCCACCACAGTCCTAGACACATATTATTTATTGATTGACTAGAAAATAAATACCTCGCACCAACCACAATGTCACCATTGTCTAGCACACAGCAGCACCATATAGACTGAGCTGGAAGTCGGATTGTTTGAGCACATTCCCCATTTTTCCAGATTCTCAGAGATCTGTCTTCTGCTGTTGTCACAAAATCTGAAAGTGATAAACACAGAAAAAATTAGGTTGAATAAATACAATTAAGTACATGTATATATACCATCTTTCTAGACAGATTTTTTTTAACTCTAAAGTATTTTAAATTATAGTTTTAGATTCTATGTATTTGTCACTTTTATATAACTTAAAAAAAACAGGTTTTTATACATTTTTCATCTAACATACTAAACACCAATACATTATGTAAAACCTTTCCTCAGATATTTAAGAACTTTTCACAACTATCAAATGTAAAATAATATAAAGATGATCGTATCAATTTCTCCTTTAGGAAAAAATATAAAGTCACTAAATTATTCAAGTTACAGTTAGTAAATTGATTTAAGTCATCAGTTCTCCTTCCCTCACCTTAAGAATGTGACGAAATAAAGGTTAATACAAAATCTTAAGTACATGGTATAAAATAATCTTACCTTTACAATTTGGAAAGATAGATATGCTATAAATATAATTTGTATGTCCAAAATAGACTTCGAGACACTCGCCAGTAATTTGCCACCTTCTAACACTGGCATCATTTGCGCACGAAAGAAATTCTGTTTCACTCAAAATTGCCAAACCTCTTACACAGTCTTCATGCCCTGTATTAAAAAAAAATACATCAATCAATAAAATAGATTATTTGGGTGATGGCTCTATGTATTTCATAAACATTGTAAAACACATTGGTGAATAGTAAAGCGTGATTTCAAATTTGAAAAATTCAATTTTTCAGTAGAAAAGCCTGATAACCCAAATTTATATTTCAGATTTGGCGTATCTTTTTTCTTACCAGTCTTGGGAAGTTATTTCATATTCATCGTATCTTCTCCAAATTCTGTCTTAAAAACCTTCCAGAAACAGAATTTTGATCTCCACAACTCTCATTTTTTACCTTACAGTTCAACTTTTCTTCCCCAGTAACAAGATTAATTCATAACATACACAATATTCAAATATAACTGAAAACATAACAAGGAATAAATATCCCTTAAATTTCTTACCACAGAATACTGAAATTAATATTTATAAAACACCAGAGAAAATTAAAAACTAAGATTACAAAAGACTGTAATTATTTAAAGCTTGAAATATTAAAACCATCAAAGAAAAGTAAACTTTATTAAAATATGCAAAAATAGGTTGAGAGATTACTTTCTCTAAAACAACAAGAGCCAAACCGGTTTGGCTCAGTGGATAGAGCGTCAGCCTGCGGACTCAAGGGTCCCAGGTTTGATTCCGTCGATCTCTCTCATCGATGTTTCTAACTCTCTATCCCTCTCCCTTCTTCTCTGTAAAAATTCAATAAAATATATTTAAAATAAAATAAAATAAAATAAAACAAGATTAGTGGCAAAGCTAAAACAGGAATTCAAGTTTCCTGATTTATTATCCTACCTCTTTAAAAAAAAGAAAGTATTTATTTTTTAATCCTCACCTGAGGACACACTTAGAGAAGGAAGGGAACGCTAAAAACATCGCTCAGCTGCCTTCCATACATGCCTCCACCAGGGATGGAGCCTGCAGCCCAGGTACATGCCCTGACGGGGAACCGAAGGGCAATCTTTTGGTGTACAAGACAAGGCTCCACCAACTGAACTAGGGGGCTGGGCTATCCTACACCTCTTGATTCCATCAAATTTAAACTTCTTCTACCCTCCAATTCAGCCAAAATGCAGATATTCAGCCAAGCATTGCTGATTTATCATTGGGAACAGTTCACAATTTATACAAAGGCAAGCATTAAAATGATAAAATAAAAGCCAATGATTACTGATTTTTTAAAACGACAAGAATTTATGGACTAAACTTCTTGCATGTTTTTAATTATGTAACTGGAGATATACTTGATAAAATTCAATTTCTTTCAATGTTAATTTAAGTCTTGTAGAAAATATCTACATTTTTTTAGAGATAAAGCATTCCCTGAAGCTAGTCATCTAATAAAGAGGATCAGAAGTCAAACCTTTCCCATGCTCAGTATTTGCTAATTTAGATTAGCTGTCACTGATTAGTAACAACTTGATACATATATATGTATGGAAACAAAAACAGAGATGCATATTATAACTTACTGTCCATTTTCCATCTATAGATAGTTTCATCTTCACAAAGGGACACCTTGCAGTATTATCCTCCAGGGTGGTGATCAACTTTGAAATAGTAAATGAGCCCAGCCAGTGTGGGTCAGTGGTTGAGCATAGACCCATGCACCAAGAGGTCATAGGTTCTATTCCTGGTCAGGGCACATGCCCGGGTTGTCGGCTCTATCCCTGGCAGTGGGGGTCATGCAGAAGGCAGCTGATGTTTGTATCTCTCCCGCCCTCTCTTTTCCTCTCTAAAATCAATAAAAACATTTTTAAAAAAGAGGAAGGAGCTTTAAGTAAAAGAAAAAAATTCATACAAAAAATCTAAGTGCCCCACAGATAAATCAGCAATACTAATATTACACAGAAGATGCCTCAGTGTAGAAGTTATTTAATAGCTGAGATTTAAAAAGACTACCCACCTAAACCACCACATAGAGCTTGAAATGTATTAATAAACAATGTACTTCAAATGTACTTCAATATTAATAAAAGCACTTATGTATTCCTTCATATAGATGAAGCTAACACTAATGCTCTATCATCAATAAGGCTTATGCTTTGAAGTTTCAAACTGAACATGTTCAAAGGACAAGAAAAAACATAATGCATCCACAAATTACATATATATAGTTTATAGAAGCACATGCACACATTAGAGCCTATCAGATACCTATTTACTATTCAATCTGGTTGTTTAATGAGAGGTCTCATTATATCGTAAAAAGATATGTGGGTGTCCTGGCCTGTGTGGCTTGGTTGGAGCATTGTCCCATGCACCAAAAGGTTGCTGGTGAGGGCACATACCTAGGTTGCAGGTTTGATCTCCAGTGGGGCCTTGTGTGTGTGTGTGTGTGTGTGTGTGTGTGTGTGTGTGGTGGGGGGGGGGGGGGCACACACAACCAACTGATGTTCATTTCTCTCTTCTCCTCTCTTAAAAAAAAAATCAATAAAACATATCCTTGGGTGGGGATTAAAAAAAACAGAGATATGTGGGTGATGTTTTTCAACTACCACTTTCAAGCTTCTAAACCTATGAAGCAATGAGATTATAAAAGTTGTCTACTCTGTATTACCTGAAAAAGTCCTCTCACATCTTCCAGCTTTCCACAGTTTAATAGTCTTGTCTGCTGATCCAGTTAACATTAAGCCCTGTTCAGGTAAGATCTTTACAGCCCAGACTGCAGCTGTATGACCCTGAAAGTAAAGTGGATATTAATTTAAGTTGCCACTGAGTCATCGCACTTAATTATTATCTAGCACATTCACACAGAACTACTGTACCTGTAAGGTCATCATGCATTTGTCATTCAGCCAGACTTTAGCAGTGGTGTCCCATGAGCCACTAAGTAATGTCCCAAATTTTCCAGATGAAAGACTACAAACTAAAGGAAAAAAAAGGCATTCATATAGAAAAAGTTCAATCTTGTTAGTTATTAAAGCATTGCAATTTAAAAAACACAGTGATAGTATATTAGCCAAATAAGGCTTAACTCAATGGAGATGCAGAAGTGTGCACTGATCAAGACTGTTGTCAGACTGCCTGATGCAAGTACTACAGATGACACTTCTGAGCTGACCACAGGGATATACTCAACCTCAGGTTCATCGTCTGTAAATGAGGGAACAGGATTAGGTGGGTTGCACAATCTAAGAAACCACATAAGAAGGCAATGCAAATGATTTTGAAATGCTGTTTATATAGATACTTAGGGTCACTTTATGACCAAAAAATCCTGGAACTAAGTGTTCAATAGTAATGAAATAGTTAATTAAATGTTTTATTGATGTAAAATTATACAGGCTAAAAATTATAAATGAAGAGTCATCTAAAAACATGGGGGAAAAAAGACAGAATTCTGATTAAAAATGGCAGACTGTCTGCAGTAATGCTATAAATGGTATTAATCTACAAGGCCAAAGAAGACTGAAACTAGCATAACTGCTTTAGCATAAATGGAGGAAGGTTATAATTCAGGGGTGGGCAACCACTGGCACGCGTGCCAAACATGGCACGCTAGTAACTTTTGCTGGCACGCAAAACCCTCTCTTATAATCTTCCATTTACAATTTTTTTCTTAATATCGACTTTTTTATTTTTCAGATAAATTCAGTGTAGGTGCATCTTAGATAAATAAATAATTTTACATAACAAGTTTTCTTAAAGACCATAGACATGGATTGACGAGAGAGGGGAAGAGCAATTTCTATGCCTCTGCCTTAACTCTCCCTGCCTTCCTAGATCCGACCAGTGTTTTGGTTTCATCCACATATGCTTGTGAATCTTTGTTCTCAGTGATGAATTTTGTTAAGTCTCATAATAGGAGTAGCCTGACAGATGAAAGTAGTAGCTCCTGCATATCTCTTAAGGTCACGAAATATAAACCTGATGTAAAATCTCTGTCATCAGTGATGCAGCAGCAAAAGTCCCACTGATAATATCAAACGGAGTCATAAAGTTTTCTGTCGGACTATCAGTGTACATGTATACATTAAAAAATAAATGTATTTTTCATCATCATATACTGTGTTTTTGTTGCTCGAATGAATTTTATTATTTCTTCAAGGTTCTTCACATACATACACCTTAAGAGATATCAAGCAGGCATAACATGTTCTCAAAAAATTAGGGTTGGCACACAGAAGAATTTTGAGTCAGAGATTTTGCTGGTTTTGGCACGCACTCACAAAAAGGTTGCCCACCCCTGTTATAATTTAAACACGCACAAGAGGAACTCAGGAGTAGAGTGACAGGGTACTGCAACTATGAGGCTCAGTATGCAGCCACTGTTGGTTCCATGAAGGATGGGCTAAGCAAAGGACCTGAAAAATTAGAAGAGTGATTCAGTCTGCACACAACACAGTGAAACACTAGATCTCTCCTCTCAGCCTACAGTGTCAGGAAAGTGCATCCTCACTCACTGCAGGAGATGGAGATTTATTCTCTGGTCACAGGAGCCCATTTAAAAGATCCCAATGGCCAAATGTGGGACAATTTGAGAAATCAAAAAGGGAAAAAAAATGTTAGGGAGCCAACTTATTTTGAAACCCAGTAAAAGAAGTGGGAGAGGGGGCAAGGAAAGCATTTAACCTGGCTTCTCTATATAAAATTCTCACATGGTAACCAAAGAGTTGATGTGGAAAAGTTCTATATAGAAAAGTGCTAGTTATTAAATGCAGAAATAATGACATAATTAGAGTACAGTCATTTTGCAAATATTAATGAAATACTGGATCTATGCAATGATCATCAATAGGCGCTAAAAAGCTGATGGGAATTTTATAATGAATGGATGTACAACACTAGAACCCACTGACCAATCTCAACATCACAAAAAGAGATATTTATGTATCTCCGGATGGATGTGTTAAATACACAATACTTCTTATAAAGTGTTCTTGCCAGAAACTTGAATTTGTACTTGTTCAAGCTTCTAGATTTAACTAATAGCTTACAAGACATATGGGGGACTGAGGAACATGTTAAAGGGAACGAAAAGGCTCTAATCAGCAAAGTTCAGATTGCTGGACATTCTACAGGTAAAATAAGCTGGTTTCCAATGGAGAGGGAAAAGGGAAACAGAATGACAGACTGAAAGACATGTGAACCTTGTTTGGCTCACCAGTGAAACAAAGTGTAAAAAAACATTTATGAGACAACTGGGTAAATGTAAGCATTCACTGGATATCTGATAATAAGAAATGAGATTTTGCCTGGCCACTCTACTTTTGTATATAGTGAAGATTTCTAGAAGAAAGTTAAAAAAAAATCTTTATCACTCTGTATTGAAGATTTCACATACATACATACAAAAACATTTTATAAACTCACTGAAATTAAGTTTAAAGTTTTTATGGGCCATACTATTTGCTTACAGATGTTCCAAACTATTCTAGATACATTAAAAAATAAGTGCACATACTCCACTGATTAAACTTCATTTTATAACAAAGAGCTGCTAAGCCATACACAAATTCAGGAATTCCAGAATCAGAAATAGTATACACAAATCACAGAAAATGATATTCAAAAGTATTCCTCTTCAATAATGACACCAGAGCTATAAACACATCTGTTTTTGCTGTATAAATAGACATAACAGTCAGAAGATTTAAAAATACTCTTAGGTTTCTTCAGTAAATTCCTTGCACAAAATAGCTGAAAATCCAAAATCACAAAGTGTATCAAAATTATACACCTCTTCCTTTTATAACTGAACATTTTAGTCTTTTTATAAAAATATTTTTTGATTGATTTCAGAAAGGGAGAGATATAAAATGATGAGAGAGAATCACCGATCAGCTGCCTCCTGCACGCCCCCTACTGGGGATCGAGCCAGCAAGCTGGGCACATGCCCTGACCGGAAATCAAACCATGACCTCCTGGTTCATAGGTCTACACTCAACCATTGAGCCACATTGGCTGGGCTGAACACTTTACTTTTTAAAAATACAGCGGTGGACAAAAAGTAGGTTTACAGTTGTGAGTATGGGAAACACAGTTTATTCATATATTATTTATTAATTACTGTATTATTTGTATTACCACTTAAATCTACTTTTGTCCACCCCTGTGTAAGCATAATAAACTTTACTAATAACAGAAAATCTGTAACAGAATTTATAGAACAAAATTCTGATCCAAAAAAGGATTTTACTACCAAGCCTATTAGCAATAGGTTAACAAATATAAAAACAAACAAACAAACAAAAAACAGGAATTATCTGTAAATTTTACTTTCAAATGGATAATTTTTTTTTCAAATAGAAACACACCAAAGCACTATACTCACCAGCATTTTTGTGACCTTTTAGTATGTAAAGTGGTGCTGGGCTCTCCAGTGAGAAAATGCAAATATTATGGTCATTTCCTCCAGTGGCGATTAGTCCATGAGGATGTGCGTCACTTGAAGGTATGATGCATACACAAGATACAAAATTGGAGTGGCCACTCATACAGTGCATTTCTGTGAAGCCCCTGTTAGGACTAGAAAGACATGATAATAAATAAGACATACAATTGTTCTCTAACATAGCCTAGGACATAGTTGTCAAAGTACTCATTTCATTTAGTGTCTAGGTTGAACTTTACAGAGTGCACACTATTTCAAGTATCTATTGTTTTAAATATTAAATAGCTAATATACACTGAGTGGCCAGATTATTATGACCACCCCATCAGTACTTCGTTGGGCCACCTTTTGCCTTCAATACTGCGGCGATTCTTCTTGACAGTGACTCCACAAGATGTTGAAAGGTGATGCGAGAAATCTGACACCATGCCTGATGAATAGCACTGTCCAGTTCTGTGAGATTTGATGGTTGTGGAACCAGCTGCCTGATGGATCTTTTAACTTCATCCCACAAATGCTCAATTGGATTGAGATCTGGTGATTGTGGGGGCCATCTAAGCAAGGTAAAGTCTCCCTCATGTTCTTGAGACCACTCCTGCACAATATGAGCACCATGGCATGGCGCATTGTCTTGTTGGAAGAAGCCATCTCCATTGGGATACGCCATCAACATGATAGGATGAACCTGATCATATATTATTTATTAATTACTGATCATCAACAATACTTAGGTATGTTGTGCTATTCAGATGTTGTTCCACACAAATTAAAGGGCCTAAGTCATGCCAGGAAAACATGCCCCAAACCATAACACTGCCCCCACCAGCTTGAAGGGTTGTACTCATGCATGTGGG